TCCATTTTTTTTTACTTATAACTGCCATAACTTTTTTAATAAGAATTATATCAAAATATATTTTTTTTTATAGTTGCATAATGTCTTTATCTATCATTTAATATATTTTTATTATAAATTTGACACTTTATATGCCCACTGTAATAAACAAAAAGATAAACAGGCTGGAGCAAAGGAATGTTGTTAAATGTGTTTGGGGCTCGGGGTGTGAAAGGGAAGAAATGTAACACAGGTGGCCAATAAGGAAATAATAANAGTGTGAAAGGGAAGAAATGTAAAGAAATGTAACACAGGTGGCCAATAAGGAAATAATAATCGTAGCAGGCGTAGTGTAAAAAGGATGGGTACCAATGGAAAGTAAAAGTGTCTATAGATACCCGGTAGTGACTACAATAAAATGAAATAGAAAGGGATCTCGGGGTATGTATGCTTGTGTAAAAACGTCTAATGTATGAATAAGATGGAATTACAAGGAAGGGTCACTACCTATCTCCTGCACAGAAACGCGCACACTAATTTCCGGCGAGTCACAAGTATTGTGTTTTTTATAAAAATATTTTAATTTATTCTCAATGACCTATCTTGTTCTAATTGTTTATTACTAAAAAAATTCTTCAGTAAAGGATCTATTACAAACTTATTATATAAACAAATGTTTCACTTACCTCTGACTATCCTGATATTCTCTTGAGATGAATGATGTTGTTGATGTAATGATTATCGATGTATACGTTTACGCATTAATGCACGCAATTATATTTATACGGTTTATATTATTATTAACTCGCGTGTAACTACTTTTCTAGTACAATTCTATATNGCGTGTAACTACTTTTCTAGTACAATTCTATATTAAATCTACCCAAGGTGAAGTCTAAGTTTATTATAACTCTGTCTTTTGTAAAAAACCTTTTGTATATTTATATACTATAGTTCTTAACCTTGTATATGGTGTTTTACCTTAATATATTTATTATTTAATAATTTATAAAGCAAATAAATAACTTCTAAGCAACATAACTGTCCTGTGCAACAAAACTATTTCCAAGTGGCCTACGTCTTTTCAGTCGTCCAAATAGTGATCTAGGGTAGATGCGAGCTCAATTTCAGTTCTTTGCACAATAGATTATACTAGTGTCCTACACTCCGATTGCCGGCACTGTGGCATAGATCAGACTAGCTGGTCGATAAGTGGAGAGACACTTTTAGTTGTTTAGTATGATGTTAGTTATAAATATATATTAGTAAAATATTAGTTTTTAGTATAATATTTCGACTCTGATTTATTTGTATTTCGTAGCTGGATATACCAACGCGAGATCTCAAATAATATCTTTGTCTTTATGCAAAGAACCTTATGATATGTGGCCTACTTCTTTTCAATCACCTGTAGGACGACCTAGGTTAGATGCGACTGTACTATAGATTTATGCACGATAAGTTATATTAGTGTCCTACACTCCGATTGCCCGCACTGTGGCAGAGATCAGACTAGCTGGTCGATAAGTGGAGAGACACTTTGAAAAAATCTTAAGATTAACTAAAATTCTAATTATGATATTATTGTACTATTACCCTGTCCAGCCAGGTTGTGGCCCTTCAATAAGTAATAGATACAATTCAACCAAATTAATTACCTTAGAATATGCTTATATATATATATGAATATAAATGTAAATAGAAAGAAATAAATAAACACCAATATTTTATATGTGTTAAAATATTTATATCACCAATAGTATTCGACCGAAAATAAGATGTATAATATTTTCAATAATTACGAAAGAGGGTAAAAATGATTTCATATAGAATTGTAGCTAAGAATGAAAGATAAACTCACGCACATACAATTTTTGTATCTTGGTTGAGTATTCCAGAGAGCCGTAGAGATGCATAGATGGAATGGCAAGGCGTCCCAGTATCCGCTAGAGGGATGTTCAGAAATCGTATATAACCACTGTAAGAGAACCAAGTGCAAAGGAACCACCCGAATTTGGGGGAAAATGGCCTTTTTATAGCCTGCAAAAACTGGTTTAGCGATCTCTGGTGAGATTCTTGAAATATTTTTGCTGTATTTGATTGGTTAATGTGATAGAATCTTTTACGTGGGCGTTTTATGGAATGCGTAAGAGGGAGGTTAAATCTTGTGTAAGGGTATTATTTTATTACTCATCTTATCTACGGGGAAACACTGATTTGGTGATATATTTTATTAAATATAAGTATAATATAATATACTTTATCATGGAAAAAACATTTTCGGTCATAACTTATTAAAATGTTCTAGAAATACTGACACTTTTATATATACCTTAAATTAAAGCTTATGTAATATTTCGGTTGGGTTTAATAAAATTTTGGACTCTAATTTGTCTTCATGATAAAAATGCCTATTTTTATGTTAAAATTATCGATTTTATATTTTACATTTTTAACTTTATAATGCTATAACTTATTGAAAATTGTATGGATCAATACAATTTTTTTATGAGAAATAATATTCATATACTTATTTAATTCGAATTTTTTTTTTAAATAGCATTATTTTCTTTAATATAGGGGATGTTCAAATTAAATAAGGCATATAGAAAAGGAAGTGGTGTTATTTTGAAAAAAAGTATTTCGAAAAAAAGAGGGATATAAATATTATTTCTCATAAAAAAATTGTATTAATCCATACACTTTTCAATAAGTTATAGCATTATAAAGTTAAACATGTAAAATATGAAATCGAGAATTTTCACACAAAAATACCATTTGGTAGCCATTTTCATCATGAAGTCAAAATAAAGTCCGAAATTTTTTTTTTATAATAATGTATATTACATAAGCTTTAATTTAAGGTACATATAAAAGTGATATTATTTCCGGAACACTTCCAAAAATTAAGTTGAAAAAGTTCTACTTTCTATAAGTCTTATTATATAGAGAAATGGTCAGATTTAAAAAAAAAAGAATTTTTTAAAAATTTCATTAAATTTATCTATACCATATGAAATAATAATAGATTTTGTCACGTTACAAGCTTTAAAAGTATGTTGCACAATAATCACTAAGATAATTAATTAACAATAAAACTAACTAAGTAAGGTATATTCATAATTTGTGAATTATAAATAAAAATTATAACTATAAGTTAATATTATAAGTGATAACATGATATTAAAATACAATACGTATAATCAAGCTTTTAGAATACTTAAATATTTTAGCTTCGATGCGAAGCTGAGAAGGTATTAATTTTACCATTGTGTTTATTTTTTTTTTTGTCTTTCACTACTTTTTCTCAGCTCAACCGAACCAACATCTTTCAACAATACGTCAAAAGATCACAAATCGTATCTAGTTGAAAACATTACCCTTTAAAATTGAAAAATTTTCCCTCGTTCCCCACAAATGGGGGAAATATCCAAAAAAATTACAAATTTAAAAATCGGTGAATTTTGTCATTTTTTTCACTTTTTTTTCTTAAAACTTCTATAACTTTTTCAAAAATAAACAAATCAACATACATTTTTTTTTAAATTAAAACCTTAGATATTTCACTTTCATTTGATATAATTTTTTTGAAAATCTAACACTTAACCTGCTCATTGGGGGGGATTTAAAATAGCAACTTTTTTACAAAAACTAACTTTTTCAACTCAAATTTTGAAAATGTTCCGGAAATACAGCGTTCTTTAAACATATACCAAATAAAAGCTTTTTTTGTGTACTGCAAAATGAAAAAAATAAATTTATCCCGAAACTTTGTCTTCTGCATGTAAACGGCTGCCGTAGTTAAAAAAACACTATTTTTGAGTTAAAATTTTCGATTTTAAATTTTCAACTTATAACTTTTCAAAAAATGTATATATCATGAAATGTATATATCAGCACAAATTTTTTTTTTCTANGATGGATTTTTACAATTGTAATCAAATTTTATATTACGCTCAATTGAGTAAATCCTTTTAACAACTTTGTTTTGTTTGGTTCATTTAGTTAAAGTAAATCATTAAAATTAATTAAGTTTTGAATATTTCAATTGCAGAATCTTTTTAAACACCAAAAGTTATTAGGAAATGATTACTATTCTTTCTATTTCAGTTATCTATTACGATAAAAATGCAAAAAATTCGAATTTTTCTGATAAATGTACTGTAAATAGTAATTATAAAATTTCCTGATTGCATATTAATCTTAAAAATATCATTTTTTTCAATTTAATAATATCAATTTCAAACTTGCAAGTTGAACTATAAGTTATGGTAACAAATTCATTTTTTTTTTATTAAAACTTTCACTTTAAAGGACAAAAAGAAGTAGGTTCAAAATGATTACTTATAACATATTAAAAATTAAAATAAATAATAATTTGAAAACAATTAATTTTAAAAATTATATAATTTATAATTAAACGAATTACTAATCTGGGTATAGTTAAAGAAATAGAAGTTGATGTTGCTTTTGTAATTATCCAACAATTTTTTAAAATTAAACACTATCTACAGATTTGCATCAAAGCGTTTCTTATGATAGTGATTTTAATCACTGTCAGATTAAATCTATACTGGACCCAACTATGCAACGTCTCCACTATGCCGCGACCCCACTGTGCTGGGTTTTTTAATTAACATATTTAAAAATATTTCTGTTAAAAGTCATAAATGTTAGAACATATTTTTAAATCCAAGAATATCAACTTGTCCCTGGTATCAATTTACCCTGTTTATACACTATTAATTATATTTAAATATAATTTGAAAGGTTAATTACAAATTTGGGTATATTTTAAATTATTTCTTGAATAAAAATTAAATATTTTTATGTTATTTTGTGATTTATTATTTAAGTAAATCACAATATCTCTAAGAGATAAAAAAATATTAATCTATAATGGAGCTCCCTATAATAGACATCCCATGTGCTAAAACCTGATTGTACTGAATTTTTATGATTGTTTGTTCTTTAGACGTTATTTTAAAATAATTATTTTGAGCAATTCTTAACATTTACAGAAAATATCACTTTTAACAAGTATTGAGATGTATCCTTCAAATTTGAAATGTAATGCAGTATATCTAAATTTTCAATTTAAATTCAATCCCGTTGATGAAGAATGGAAAAGAAACAAATGTGAAAGTATGGGATTGACGTTTATAAAAAATAAGGAATTTGAGTCGGTTTTTTCTCAAAAATATAAAATTCGACAATTATATAAAGTATTGTCTGATTTAATATGTGGAGATACAACATTTAGTACAACACTACAGGAAAACATTTGTTCTGTAAGTCAAAATATATCATTTAAAACACAATTATTACTAATATATTGAATTGTTTTATACATGGTAAAACTAGAGCATAAAAACAAATGATGACATAAAAAAACTTTTTCCTGATGAAGAATCGTTTAATAATTATCTAAATGATTATATAATATTTAAAAATCCAGGTATGTTTTATTGGCATTAAATGGTAATATTTTTTATCTTGTAAACTACTCAATTAGTCGCAAAATAAGAATAATATTCAGAATTTCTTTTTGTTATGATTTCAAATATACATAATTATTTATTAAAACGAAATAATATTTAACATATTTAACAGGAAAATTACATCTGAAAAATACCTACAGATAAAAAAAAAATGTATAAGTAGTGCTGAAATCGTTAAAATTAATAGTTTAGAATAAATTATTAAAAAATTTAGTTTTTAATTTTTTTCTAACAGATAACAAAAAGATTACTTTATATTTACTGAGTGGATACAAATAATATAATTACCCTGTAAATTTTATTATAAAATTACCAACTAAACAGTCTATATAAAAATAAACGGTAGCACAGTGGGGTCGCGACACAGTATGGACGTGACATAGTTGGTACATGTATACCCACATAGCAATTTCAATATATTAATATTGTCAAAATATTCTTACAAAATACTTTTTAAAATATTTTGAATAAAATATTGTGACAATATCTCTTAAACATAATAAAAAATATATTCTATTGGAATATTTACATAATATGCTCACAAAATAATTTTTTAAATATTTGTTTATGTATATTTTGATAATATATTAAAGAGAATAAATACAGTATATTACACCGAAAATATTTCTACAATGTGCTTAAAAAATATCTTTTTAAATATTTGCTTATAAATATTATGAAAATATATTAATTAAAATAAATATAGAATATTTAACTTGAAATATTTGTTGAATATATTATCAATATAATTTTTTAAATATTATAAATATATATCTTGTTGGCCAACTGAGGTAACTTAAGAGACACAAGCCATCCTCTTTTCTCCCTTTAGTTACATCTTTGGATGATATTGGTATCTTGTTATATAATACTTATGTATTATATATACATATTCCTAAATCTTTAATAAGTAAACAGCCATTTTCTCTAATTAGTATCAATTTTAATTAACTTAATTCAATTAAGCTAAGTAAGTTAGGGACAGTAAAAAACCCTTGTTGCTATTATTTGCAGGCCTATCGAGTTAAATTTTTTTTAGTTTTATCAACGCAATTATATCTTATTATTGTCCTGTGAAACTAAAAATCCTAAAAAGTTTTTTTATTATAGTTAGAATATATTTCTATATTATCAACAATAATAGTCAGTTTCTAACTTACAAGGAGAAATCATGGTGATGGGATCGCCGATTTTCAAAAAAATTATATGAATCTANATAGATGATATCTGACAGCGATTAAAATCACTATCATAAGAAACATTTCTATGCAAATCTGTAGACAGTGTTTCATTTTAAGAAATTGGTAGATTATTTCAAAAACAACTTTTATTCCCTTAATTTTATCCCGATTAGTTATTTGTTTATAATTATAATATATGAATAAATAATAATTATAGTATTTAAATTTAGTATGAAATTGATATTAAAAAAAAAAATTTGTCGAATGAAAAAAAGTAAAAAAATTGAAAAAATGTCAAAAATTAGCGATTTTTAAACTTGTAATTTGTTGTGTGGTTTCCCCCATTTACAGGGAACGAGTGAATTTTTTTCAATTTTTGGGGGTAATGTCTTCGACAAAAAACGATTATTAATATTGTTCATCAAAATCGATCTAGCAAGAGCTGAGATTGAGGATTGGGTTCACAGACACAAAAAAATAACAAATTAAATAAAAAAAGGTATATATAAAGTATTTATCATTTAAGAATAGAATTGATTCATGCATTTTTTAAAAAGTTATAGCAACATAATGTTAAAAAATGTAAAATATAATATCAAGAATTTTTTCACAAAAATAGCATATTTTTGCATACGGTAGTCATTTTCACCATGAAGACAAGTCCTTTTAAATATCAAAAGTTACTCAGAAATGATTACTATTATTTCTATTACGATAAAAATGCAAAAAAATAATGAACTTTTCTGATAAATACACTGTAAATAATAATTATAAAATTTCCTGCAGCATATTAATCTTAAAAATACCAATCTTTAATTCTCATAAAATTTTCTAGTTTTGATATCAGTTCTATTTATGCAATTGAGCTAAAAGTTATAGCAACATATTTAATTTTTTTTAACTTTCACAAAACTTTATTAAAAACTTTTCATCAACTTTAATGGACCAAAAAAATAGGTAAAAAATTAAATTTTGGACTGATTATTTTTAACATTAAAAATAGAAATCAGTAATAATTTGAAAACAATTTTTTTTTCTATTAATTATTTTTAGCTTCGATTCTGTTTTAATAGGCCCTATTCTTAAAAACACTATTTCTTTCTCTACTCTTTCTTCTCTCAACGCAAACAAATATTCTATCCTTTTACACAATAATTCTCACAAAAAATTCTATACAAAATCAATTTTTTCTGTTCTTAATCACATCCAACACATAGTTGACACAATCACGCCATTGACGTTGGATGATTATCCGCTCCTCTTTTTCACCACACGTGTGCCCTTCAAAGATCAAATGTTTCCATTTATTATTTTCAGTCAAAGAACACCTTTTCAATGTTTATACAATATCTTGAAATTCTTAAAAAATGTAAAGTAAATGAAATCCCCCGTTTACGGAGAACATACCCCAAAAAATTACAAATATAAAAATCGCTAATTTTTGATATTTTTACAAAATGTTTGGTTTGGTTTTACCTAAAATTGCCATAACTTTTTTAAAAATGACAATATAATTTTTTCTTATAGAGACCTGAGGTATTTATCTAACATTTTATATACTTTTTTGAACTTTTGACCTTTTACCAGCCCACAGGACAGGTTTTAAAATGGTAACTTTTTTACAAAAAATTAACTTTTTAAACTTAACTTTTGAAAATGTTCCAAAAAGACTGACACTTTTATATATATCTTAAATTAAAGCTTATGTAATATACTTTAATTTGAAAAAAAAAATTGACTTCTGGACTTGTCTTCATGGTGAAAATGACTACCGTATTCATAAATATGCTATTTTTGTGTTAAAATTTAGGACTTTATATTTTATTTTATTTTAAAATACCTGACAACGGGAGTACAGATTTTCATAAATATTATATAAATAAAAAATTGATATAGCATGGAAAGTTTAACTTATTTAATTTTTTTTTTAAGTCAAGAAAAATAACTTTGAAATTTGAATTAGCTTAAATTGCCATTTTTTTCAGTTGCTGAGTCGGTATCACTAATGTTTTACGCTCTTAAGATACAAGGTTCTAATTCACGTATTGCAATAAATTTTTTGCATTTTTTCTTAATTCTTTTTAAGTTAGTTTAAATTTTTAACTGGTTTGATTTTTTTCTCATTTAGATTCCATAACTTCAATAAAGATCAAGGATCCGATCACTTTAGTCGCCCCTTTCAAGAAGAAATTTCTTATTCGTATTAAAATTATTTTACTATATTTTAGGTTTTAGCTTCGAAGCAAAGCTGAGAAGGTATTTTTTTGTGACTATCATTTATTTTTTCTGCTCTAACTTGACCTACTTTTTTCAACGTAACATCAAATGATTACAATTAGAAGATATTACCTTCAAAAATTGAAAAAAAATTCTAATTTATCAATTAAATAGTTACTTATCCAATGTTCTCCATACACACAATTAAAATAATTCATTTCTAATGTTTTCAAAGTATTTATTGACGAACCAAGTTTGATATAATAGGTTTCAACTACAAAATTNGAACCAAGTTTGATATGATAGGTTTCAACTACAAAATTTGACGCGGTTGCATTGCACTTCTGGCTTTACCGCTGGATGGCGACTGCGACACAGCTACCTCTTCTTGTCCGACAGGTCGCGCGTCGGCCAGTGACCGCGGGTGCACGATCCTATACGGCGATACACCAAGCAATATTATAGAATAATCTTTCAACTTCCTCGCGAGAACTATCGTGACACTGTTTTTGCATTTTCCTATGTATATTGATNCGTGACACTGTTTTTGCATTTTCCTATGTATATTGATTTAAAATATATATTTGACCGCCGTGTTATTATTTATTTATTAATTCACGAATAAGCTTTAATTACATCAAATTAAATCATTTTATTTTGTAATTTAATAATTTTTTATATAATTTGAATTCATCACGAAAAGTTGATTTAGAAAAGTATATTTTTGTTTCTGATAAAAGTTCCTTGTAGTCCAGTGTATAAAACTTATAACTTTGTTATATATAATTATTAAATATCAATTTCCTACTAAATTTAATTACTAAATTTATGTATTCATATATATATATATTATAATTATAAATCAAATAACTA